GATATACCCCCAAGAGATTCCCCGTAGATCCTCTAAACTCTCTGCTCCTAATACCTATCCTGAAAATTCCTGTTACGGCGTGCCATGATTTAGTTCAAGATCGCCGTCTGCCGAAGTAATCCTAGTAATGGCTAGAGGGTTAAGTGCGAGAGGATCCTACTTAATATTATGAATAGAGGACTGAACTAGCAAGGTGCCATGACAAGAATACATGGGATTGCAAAAAGTACGATATAAGTATACAAGAACATAAGATTGGAAAGCCAGAATACTGCTCGTGGTAACTTGAGCTTCCTGACTACAACTAGACCACGGGGGACTATTCTCAACACCTGTCAGCGGCGTCCCCTACGAACCTCCAGCTCTCACTGTAGAGCCTGCAGAGCCGAGATTGAGTAACAAAGTCCTCACTTCGACGAGGATTCCCAATCGCTTTCGCAGTCTATATCGTCTTCATCTCTCAACACATCCCCCCTCTCACCATTATCATGAAGCTAAGCACGATCAGATCAGATGGTAGGGTCGGAGCCCTTATCATCACCAACCCTTGATCATGGAAGAAAAGCCATTCAATGAGTTTCCGGAGCGTACCCAGCACCCGATACGGAGATGGCGGATTGGATCAAGTCGACCTCAACTGTTACGACGAAGGGAGATATTGATCAATATGCGCACCTCATGTGGTCCCGGTGTCTAGGCCTCGCCTGGCTGGGCCTCTAGGATTTTTAAGACTTTTTCCCACACACGCAGTTTCCATTGCTACCATTTTTATTTTTTTTGGGTAGAAGGTTCCGTGGAAATGGTGGCCGAATTCCACGGGTAAACACTGAGCTGAATGTCTATTCATCAAGGGCAATGTATCAATAATCTTTCAAGTAACAAAAGAGCATAGGGGCGCTGTAAAAGGTGTGGCCTGGGTCAGAGAGGAGCCTAATGTGCTAGATAGTCATAGACTCAAGTAGTACAATAAAAACACACGCAGGTAGACCACAAAATAAAACTTAACTAAGGCCATAGCAAGATTTTATCATGATTCCAGCCCCTCTGACTCTAACTGTTAGAGTTTTCCCCAGAACATTCTTCAAGGATGTCTCGCAATAACAATTCCCCAAATACCAGTGCCTACGCTAGCAGGCATGGATAATAGGTATTCAGAGGCTTATCAGCCGTCAAGCACGTCAATGTGCTAACAAATAAGAAAATAGGTCCCAAAAATCACCAACAGAGATGTCACTAAGGTAGAGAGCTTTTGAATCAGGGGGCGTAAAGCTGAAGAAGAGCTGAGGCAGTTGGACGACCTCGCCACGAAATCGATACCTGCCTTGTGCCTTTCGCGAGGGAGATGGTACTGGAGCAGAGACGGACGATGAACACGTTGAACGGAGTACTAAAAGGAAGAAATTTCCTTTTTTCGATCCTTTGTGCAAATTTGTTTTTGCATTGCTGTTGAATTTGAATTTGAAATTTTTTACGTGACAGGAAGAACCTAACATCTATTTAGACGTGACACAGGTAGATGTGCTCTGAAAGCTCATTGCTAACTACATGACCGGCAATAAATCCAGAAGCGACAAAACAAGAGAGGAAATAAAAAGGTATAGTAAATGTCTGAGTTACGGTGCTCTGCGCCGCATCCCTATCTTCCACACCCATCTCCTCTTGGGTTAGAAACAATCTGAGCGTGGTCACTTCCCACCCTGTTCATTCTTCGGCAGACTATAACATCTGCTTGTAGTTAAGAATTGGAAAAACTTATGCCATCCCTTCTCCCCAACCATCTCCTTGGCTCTAGGCGGGGCCAATTTCCCACAGCTTCTCCAACGTTGCAAAGCGGGTCGGCACTCTGAAAAATGCCAGGGCCTTTCTCTCGGCCGCAAACGCATTTCAGATCTTCATGTTCGGGGTTGAAACGTCGATGGTAGTCGGCGTAGTCCCCGGGGCCTATTCTTGCTGCAATAAGACGATAGTACGCCCATCTTGGTAAAGCTAGTTCCGGTGGCTGTTTGCAGCGCATGAAGAGGTCTAGATCTTTATACCGCTTCAGTCGATACTTCTGCCACCACTCTTCCACGAGTTCCTGGCTGCGCAGTTGAACCCACCTCCCTAATGCCGCAAATGTTGGACCTTGATCTTCTCCACTGGGCGCAGCTGAGGTTAGTGACCGGTTATTGGGAGCTCCCAAGGCTAATTTGGCCAGCTTATCGGCCTCTTCATTGCCTTAAATTCCCACATGACCGGGTATCTAGCGTATTTCCACACGCTTATTGTATCTCAGCGACAGAAAATTGTCCATCACTGACTGCGAGGACTTAGATCTTCCTCTTTCGAGCGCCTGGGTGGCCGCTTGGTTGTCCAGAACAATGCGAATCGGTAGGTCTTCTCCCACCGTTAGTGCAGCTTCCAAGGCTTTCGTGGCACCTACAACTTCTGCGTCGAATAACTCTGCTCCGGGAAGTGGACCGGAACCACTTCCAACTAGCTTGCCTCCTTGGTATACTACATACCCCCAGGCTAATTTTCCGGGACCCGATGATGATCCATCTCAGAAAGCGCGGACCGTGTTATCTGGACGGGAAGCTAACCATCGCTTTATGCTTCCAGACCTAGCTTCTTTTTCTCGACTACATGGAGTCGATGCTGGGGTGCCACGTGGGAAGTATAGCTTTCCAGGGCCTTCGGCTGTCGGAACTCGACGCACACTTATTTGTAGGCGCGTCATGTACAGTTCTGGTTGTCTGAACAAGCGATCTCTTTTTCCCGATCTAAGACCTAGGCGTCTTATTGTCTCTTCCGAGTCCTCCGCCGCCCGAAGGGCTAGAGGATGCCAGATATCTATTCTTCACATACGAGCTGCGGACTGCAGCATCTTTTGCTGAAGAATTATCGATGCCGGGGTATTCCCGCTTCACGATAAAGAGCGCTATTGGGAGTGGTACTCTGATAGCTTTCATAATCGTTTTATCCAGAAGATATAGATGTCAGCCTACTCCGGCGCCGACTTCTTTATCTCGCAGTGTGGTTATTCGAGTGAGACCCGGCCACCACGCTTCTGCCCCATATAGAGCTGTGCTTAAAACGCATGCATGTACTGCACGAATCAGAGGTCTAGGTGCTGCACCGCGTTGAACTCCGTTTATATTTCGTAAGAAATGGACTAGACGATTAGCCTTTCCAGTCCATTCCTGTACATGCTGCTTGAAGTTTAGCTGGGTATCAAGCCGGACTCCTAGCCACCGGATATGAGTTGACGGTTCGATACGGCGATCTTTCACCAAGATTGAAAGATCAGCCGCATTGCTGTTGAATCACGCCTCTAGTAGCGATTCTAACTTTTCGAATGTATTGGGCCTGTGCGCATCGAACTTCAATAATTCTGAAAATACATTAGCTCACGAGGCGATGATTCAAAACTCCGAATAGGTCAAATCCTCTCCCTCATCGAGGTCTATTGTAACCGAAATCTTAGCGAGTTAACAGTTGCGAGTTAGGACACCCTCATTGCCATAATCACACTACTTGTTAACTTTGTAACGGCTAGTGAGCCTATAATTGTCCAGTATCACGTGACGTTAATCACGTGCCTCAACAATTCTCTGAAAGGCGAAACTTCACTCTAGTTTATTCTGAACATGACTAGAGGATTCTAGCAACTGGCATCGAGACTGTGAACTGGTATCAGGGAAACATAACAGAGGCTAGTATCAGACAGGAAGGAATATTCTAGATAGCCTAATAAGTGTATAAATAGTTGAGTTAGGACACACATTTTGTGGTATAGAAAATAATAAACAACCTTCGTATATTTGATCGCCCCAGCATCTATACCTCGAACTGTGACAAACTTATTTTCTAGGCCCCTCTGACCCAAAAATAAACCTCCACAATGTTACTGATATTTACCGAAAGACACATATCTCGCCGAACGATCTTGAGGAGATGAATCCTTGCATCACTCGGTAGAAATGGTCAGATAGCTTTGTGCAGATAAATTGTATACAGATATATTATCTAAGGAAGTAAAGTTTTAGTTCGGGTGGAAAGTTTCGTTGAAGAATATTGTGTGCCCTACAGATTCTATAGCGTGAGGGGAGACAATGCCACCAGGGCATTCATAGATCATGGTCGAATAGCACAGTGGTGTATCATACTAGAGAGTCTCTTGGTTTGATTAGCTTGGACACATTTCTTGTCTGTAACAGGATATCACTTCTTCGAATCCAGCAAGGCTCAGCACTGTTACTCACGATTGTCGTGTACATAGCGATAAAGGCATGCTTAAACAAGCAAATCTTTTGAAACATCGCTTTAGTGAGTTATGTTAATCTGCAAATCCTGATGTGGTACTTGCGAATGACACGCAGAGTATTAGTATCGCCCAAGTCAAAATATTCACCTAACACATAAATAAGACACTAATCATATGACGTAGATATACATCTATATATCCATCAAATTGTTAAATAATTGAGGCTACTTTATTGATATAGTTCTGAAGTTCGCTTCGGTAGTTGCTTAAACAGACGCGCTCTACAGTTTGGTGGCTATATAAATCTTTTTTTTGACGTAGCTTATTTTCCCAACTCATATCTGATCTAAATGCCCATTTTCTCTTGGTATATCCATACCTCCAAGAAATTTTTGTTGTGATTGCTCAGACAGAATTTAAATCGGCCAAGAGTTTAAAATTCATAATACATACGCAGTCCCAAACTGATCGCGAAAAATTGGATCTTCATTCTTATGATGACATGAAGAATCGATTTTATTCCCACAAGTTTTTACTAAAAGATTTTTAGATGTACTTTGATGCATCAAATCTGGCTCCCTGATAAAATTTAAGATTTGAACGCTTTTGCTGCCCTAATAGATTATCATGTGATGCAGGAATAAGCCATAAGTTGGCGAATGAGGGTGGACACGTCTTGGCCTTGATCAATCGTTGCGTTATCACCATCGTCCATTATTGGTGACTGAACTTAGAAAGCTTAGACAACCACATTCTAAACTCCTGCCGCCATTGCTTGTAACTCTTTTAAAACTTGACCAGTACATTCTTCAATCTTAGTTCTTTCATGAGGCTGCATCATTCTCAAGACATACGCCGCCACTTCATCGCGCTCCCGGCTGATGGGTCTTCCGATTCCTATGCCGATGCGCATATAGTCGCTAGTTTTGACGCTTTTAATGCTTTTTAGGCCGTTGTGACCCTTCGCGCTGGCTTGACCTGACGCGACGCGTACCTGGCCGAGCCGCAATTCCATGTCGTCATGCAACACGACTAATCGTCCCCGGTACTGCTGATGTGCTTTTGCAATTGCTGGCCCGGAGACATTCATGAAGACATTGCTCTGCCATAAGATATATTCAGTACCAATGGCTACGGAGCCGTCGCGCGCTTTCTGAAATGTGTAGCCAAGGGTGCGCGCAATGTTCATCAAAACTGTATGGCCCGCACTGTGAAGTGTGTTTTTGTACGGCGCAGGGTTTCCGATAGAACAAACAAGTAGGTGATTGGCCATGTGCGGCAGGTTGATATTTGTGTGCAAGGTTTCTTGTGGCCTTGAATTTTCGATCCAAGAATCCAGGCTTAAAGTGCGTGTATGACTAATCGAAGGGAGGGCAACGACTGAACACCCGTACGCGTTGTCCACCACGAACACGAGAACGCAATATCCTCCCAGTACCATGTTCAGTCAAATTTCACAATACCGAACAAGTTGGTCCACGAGGCAATGATTCAAATAACTCCACCATATCAATCTTTCACTCCCAACGGGATCGACTCCTTCCTAAACCATATCAAGTCTACAAGTACGACCCAGTACATCCTCATTCCAATGATCACACCTCTTCTCGACTTTTTCTGTTCTCAGCTGGTCGCCAGATACACGCCCACGCCGATAATTACACATGAGGGAGGACACAAAGCATGGCGCACAAATCTGGGAGATAGTTCTTTGGTATGGACGTTAGAGGGATTAGAACAAGTTTACAAGATGATGCAGAGGATGGATACAGTCTTGACGAGCGTAAAATTTGGCAATGAGTTTTTTACAAATTGAGTTTTGTGCGTGCCAAGGCTTCGGTTGCGAGAGTGCTGGCGACACTATAAACATCGCCATGGTTGGATGGTGCGGTGGTACATCGTCTTGGCCGGTCTGCCAAGTAGAGTCTGGATAGCTTGGACACATATCCCACTCGAGACAGTAGATCGCTGGTTCGAATCCAGCAAAACACAACCACATTTCTCGCGGCGCTGGTATACATAGATGACGAAGGCAAGCTTGGATAACCAAAGGTTTTGAAACGTGCCTTTGGTGGGTACTAACCGAGGAGGGTTGACTGTTTGTGTAAGCGAACATACCTAATAGTGGTAAATTGCGAATAAAATCCAGAGTATGAGTGTCTCTAACGTCAAAAGAGTTATCCAACATGTATACATAGCACCGGTCATGTGTCATAACTCTATAACTCAATACTATGAGCGGATGCATATTTAAGTATCGTCAGCTCTAGTTATACAGTCATGTGATATAAAAGGACTGGGAGTTATGCAGGCATCCAAGGTGATCCGTGCATACTTACAAATAAAACCGGCGGTCTTTCTGGTTGAACCTAGGCAGAGGACATTAGTGATTTAATTGTATTACAAGATTGAGCCAATGACGTTTACAAATACACATTAAATGATTTAAATAAAAACGGGTAGCTGCAGTCATGTGTAAAATAAGCCTTTACTGAATTGAAGCTACAACCACTAGTAGACCTGACCCAAACATATCATCACAAGTTTCTAGACTATTACTTACAATTTTGCCACCACTTAGTAGCGTCTGATCATGGATGTCTTCAACCTAAGACTCAGTGGCAATTCTGGGAAATCTTTATCGGATGAGTGCTAGGATTAAAGATGGTATCACAAAGCAAGCTTTCTTATGATTGATAAGTGGCCTGAGAGGGGAGGAATTCTCCTTTTCTCCACTATCCGGGTTACACAAATAAACTGAACTTATTTGCGTCGACACTAGCAGGAAGTACGGAGTTCAGCTCTGTCACAACGTCAGAACCAGTCGTTGGAATAGGTATTCACTTTGATCACTCGGTGATCAGTATTCATTAGGAGCTGTTTCGACGATAAAGTGGTCAGTCCCATCGCTCGTTATTTATATTTTAGATCATCAGCATCGTTCGCCCATCATTTTCACCAACTTCACTTTTCCTATCAGTCACATTAAAAATTTATCTCACATCATCTTCAATTAAAGATATCGTTACATTTACCCAACCTACATTCAGAATGGACCGATTCAACGAACTATTTGAGTACACTGCACGAAATCCTCTCACTCCTATACTCGATGTATTCAGAGAGAAGGTCGACACTAATGATAAACAAAAGATCGGTAAATAATCCTTACAGCTTATAGATATCAAAAACTAATTATGAAGCCATCAACGATCTATTTCATTTCTTTTGTACATATTGCAATAAATTCCGAGAAAATGAGGCAATTTCAACTCTTGAAGATCAGCTTTTTGAGATACTCCCAAAGATAAAACATAACCAAGTTTCCATAAGCCATTTCGACCACCTCATCAACTCCGCCAAAGGCTTTACTAGCGACCGTCAGATATGGATTGATGTCATCTCCATAGCCGACTCTCTCACTCTCAAAACCTCACCCACTTCAACAAACCCTAAAACTTCAGCCGGACCACAAAAGATTTCGAACGTCAATTTGATGCGGAATGTCGCGGAGCCAGTTCGTTACGACAAAGAAACTGCCTCCCTAACAGAGGCCCTAAAAGTAGAGTTGACAGGGAACGTTTATAAATCTGTTGGCAAGTTCTGGGAAGTTCATTTTGAGAGCTTAGCCTGCTCATCCCTCACAACGAGGATCTGGGAGAGTTATCGGGACAATGGACAATGTGGCGGAGACAACGTTTTCTCTGATCAGATGGACGAAGCAGCCATGCGACGCTGGCTCTACGCTCTACATGACCGTTACCTCAGCCAATTTCTTGAAGATGCAGAGGAGCCAATCAGTGGTGGGCCAGTGGTCGCAAGGTGGCCTAACGATCCGAAGGTGCGAGGGAGGTTTTCTTACACCACAATCCCGACGCAGCTCAAGGGAGGTCTGACGTCACGAAAGCTTGACTTTTTCATTGAAAATGTCGCATTACCTGAAAGCGACATTCATGAATGGGGAGAAGTCAGGGTTGTGGGTGAGTTTACTTGTTCTCCAGAACAGAAGGGTGAGAAGGCACACCAGTTGATGAGATACGTGCGCGAGATGTTCTACGCGCAGCCGCTGCGTCGTTTCGTGCACGGATTCTGCCTTCACAAGAATCACTTGGAGCTTTGGGTTGTCGATCGGTCGGGCGGGTACAGTTCAGGCGAAATAAAAATTATCGAGAGTCAAGAAAAACTGGTCCGAGCCCTCTCTTCGTACATGCTGATGAGCGACGAAGAGCTTGGGCTCGACACATTTGTTAGGTATGTAGGACAGCACGCCTACATTACCATCCCAGACGGCGATAACCCTGGGGAGCAAATTGAGGTCGTGCCAGAGCCTGTAGCCCGTCCCGTTACGATTTACTCGCGAGGAAACACTTGTTATCAGACAACCGACGGCGAACATCTGATCAAGTTTTCCTGGGGTAGCGGCACCAAACGAAGCGAGATCGATGCGTTGAGACTAGCCAAGGGAATCCATGGTGTCATCAATCTTGAGAGATCCGGCGATCTGTACAAGATTGAGACGCACCGCAAGGATATTGACTTCTCGAGCGGACAAAGATGGGATATGAGAGGTTGGGGACGTATTCTGACCACTGGATCAGAATCGGCATCGTTGGACCGCAATGATTATTACACAAAACGCGGGCTAACTGTCGCCAAACTCTCACCATTCGGACGACCCCTCCAGTCCTGCAGATCTGCTCGAGAATTCCTTGTGGGTATTCGAGATGCTATCCTGGCGCATCGACGGCTTCGTGACCAGGCGAGGCTTCTTCACGGTGACGTCTCGGAAGGCAACATAATTCTGAGTCGTCCCAACGAAGAGGGAGCCACGGAGGGAATACTGATTGATCTGGATATGTCATCGCTGATCGAGAGCAGTAGAAAAATGGATGAAGTGATTGCCATAACCGGAACCATGAAGTACATGGCGTTGGAGCTTCTGTGGAATATCAGTGAAAATAAATTCACGCTTCCGCAGAACTATCGGCATGATCTGGAATCGTTTTTCTACGTCTTGATCGTGGGATGCATGTGTTATGGTCGTGATTCCAAGAGTCAACCGGAACACTTGGAAAAATGGTTTACTGAGTCTGCAAGATCCAACTACGAGTCGAAGCAATCTGATATTATTCAACATTTTGATGCAAAGATAATTGGTTATTTCTCACCGGCCTTTGATGGTGTCAAGAAACTTGCCAAAAACTTGCGCAAAATATTGTTTGGACAGAATATCGACCAGTTTGGCATAGACGAAAGTTCCGACGACCTGTACAATCCGATCATAAGTGCATTCAATGAAACTATTGATGAAATTGTTGGTAAGAATACTCTCGAATTCCAGATATTTGTCCACGTTAATTATACATTCACTGACCAATATTATTTAATTTAGAAGAACCCTTGAAGAAAATAAAGGAGACGAAGACAAGGAAGACCTCGGCGGTTGATCTACCGGAGGGAAGGAAGCGGCAAAGAGGATAGTGTAATTATACTGAGTACATGAAGTTGTGGGAAATGTAATATTATATAATTTGGAAATATAACAATGACGTGATCATGTTGCCAATAAACCATTCAAACAGACACGAAGACTTACTCTTGATGGGTGATAGTTCGGCAAAACACTATCTTGGTATTTTGTTTGAATCTACATATTGCATTAGAAATGAATCAATTTATCTTCATGCAGGTAATCCGATCATATTGAAATGTGACCCACTAATAGCTCGTTGGTGGTATTGGTCGAAAATCCGACCAAGAGAAAATTTGCGACCGCACTCATCAGCGAACGGAAATACTTAAAGCTCAAATAGGTACCGCAGATAAGATAAAACCTACCGGAGGTTAGTGTTAAAACGACTGAAACCCTTCAATATCTCAAATGTATCTCAGCCAATTCATTTTGGGTTTGAAAACCGGTATGGGTTTGAAGAGTGAGGCGGCTCAAAGAATATGGGCGCGATTTCTGAATAGAATAATAATGATATGAGTCGGGAGAATATGAGATATACAGTGCAGAAATAAAATAAGGATTGAATGAATTGAATTAATTAGATTAATTGTCTTGGTGATTCCTAGACAGTTTATCTATATGTATACTTGAAAGACCAGGGGGACTGTTCATGACACCTGTCAGTGGTCTCACCTAAGAACCTCCAGCTCTCGCTGTAGAGTCTGCAGAGTCGAGATTGAGTAACAAAGTCCTCACTTCGATGAGGATTCCCAATCGCTTTCGCAGTCTATATCGTCTTCATCTCTCAACACATCCCCCCTCTCACCATTATCATGAAGCTAAGCACGATCAGATCAGATGGTAGGGTCGGAGCCCTTATCATACCAACCCTTGATCATGGAAGAAAAGCCATTCGATGAGTTTCCGGAGCGTACCCAGCACCCGATACGGAGATGGCGGATTGGATCAAGTCAACCTCAACTGTTACGAAGAAAGGAGATATAGATAAATATGAGTATTTTTTGCATTTGATTTTAATTGTGTATGCAGCTATCTAGCTATGATACAATTTCAGAGAAAAAATACAGGAAAGATGCCTCAATTTACAAGAAGAGCATTCATGCCAAGGGTTTTATTTGCAAGTACCACTGCGAAGTTATGGCGGCTTTTTCTTCACCCCAAGTCAACCCTCACCCATGAAGACCCACCCGAGAGAACGTCTCAAAAACCCTAAGTTATCCAGACATGCCTCCGTCATCCATCAACTTTTCTCCGAGCGAAATGTGGTCTGAGATGTCTCCTTCCGAAGTGGAGTAGGTGCCCAGGCTACTCAAACTATACCGGAGAACACCACTAGGAGGCGGACCACAACACCTTCCATCGTTGGCTTGTTTTTATAGTGTCAGCTACACTCTCGTAAACGAAGTCTTGGTGTGCACAAAACTTAGTCCGTAAAACTCTTGCCAAAATTCGAAATTTCACACCCGTCGAGGTTATATCCTTCCTTTGCATCATCTTGTAAACTTGTCCTGATCTCTCTCACGTCCATCCCAAAGAGCTTTCTCCCAGGTTTGTGCGCCACGCTTTGCTACCTCCGGCGGGCAAAAATATCGGTGTGGGCGTGTATTTGTTGGTAGACTGAGGTCAGAGAAAGTCGAAGAAAGCTATGGTCACTGAAAGGACGATATTCTAAGTCGTCTCTGTAGACTTGATGAGGCTTGGATAGGAGTCGAACTCGTTGGGAGTGAAAAATTGATGTGGTGGAGGATTATGAATCATGGCCTTGAGGGCCAACCTCTTTTGTCACTTCAAAGGTCATTAATATACTGCCCGTGATAAATGGCCACTCAGCTCAGTATTTACCATATCATTCGGCAACCTTTTCCACGGAACCTTCTACCAAAAAAAGTAGTTCTTGTGGAAGCTACGTGCGCGGGAAATATTCTCAAGGAACTTACGGCCTCAGCCATATGAGATGCGCATAGTCATCTACGTCTTCCTTCTTTGTGAAATTCGAGGCCAACTTGATCCAATCCGCCATCACTGTATTGGGTGCTGGGTACGCACTGGAAATTTGTTGGATGGCATCTCCTCTATGATCGAGGGTTGGTGATGATAAGGGCTCCGACCCTACCATCTGATCTGATCGTGCTTAGCTTCATGATAATGGTGAGAAGGGGATGTGTTGAGAGATGAAGACGATATAGACCGCAAAAGCGATTGGGAATCCTCATCGAAGTGAGGACTTTGTTACTCAATCTGGGCTCTGCAGACTCTACAGTGAGAGCTGGAGGTTCGTAGGGGACACCACTGACAAGTGTTGAAAAAAGTCCCTCTGATTACCTATTGGAATTAAAATTGCCTGACACCTAGTGATTTTTGCGATTATTTCCGGCTGCCATAATTTGGTTGTCATTTTTTATTTTAGAAACTCTCAAATTCCAGATCTCTCCTGCAGATATCATTGCGAGATATATTTGATAACGCAAAGGAGTCTACTTCCGTGAATATCTATCAAAGGAAAGATTCATAACCTTTGATAACCTAGCAAATAAGCAATCTGATAAATTTTGATTGATATTACTGCTTTCGAATCAACCATCTTATGTCTGAAAGGAGATGGATGTCGAAGTTGTTTTGCCCACTTAATATACCAGCATAGACTTTATACCATCACACCATACAGCCATTATAAAGCTTCTTGCGTCTTTTGCAACTTCAATAGACAGCTCATACCCCTGTACGACAAGGATTGAAAATGCGATAGTCATCGCGTAAGGCGTGCCGGCCCGAAGCATCAATGATGCACAATTTCTTTTAATATCTTGCCTAACCGGGGGCAAGAATCTTTGACACTAACGTACAAGAGATCAAAGTTCACTTATTTACGTCGTGCAGCCTATACTGTCTAACACTCGTCAGTACATAACTGGAAACCTTGATATTTTTAACACCTGGCTTGCGAACCGACTAATCAGCTTGTCACCATAGTTTTAACATTCAAGATACTAGGTGTAGGGTCCGACCGAATTAATAGTCTCCAAATGTTTGTGTGGGTGAGATGTGTCACGTCGCCTCCCAGCAATACATCATGTTATAAACTTGTATGAAAATTCCGGTAACAAGTCCGACAGTGCCTGTTGAGATTGAGAAAGACGTAGAAAGGATTAAGGCGTGCCTTTACAAGGACCAGATGTGAGGCTTCGATAGCGAAGTAAATTAAACTGTCAAGGGCAAAAGTATCGCAGACTTCATCATGAACTTCAAGTCACCTCACGATTACCAACCTCATATCTGATAGCTATTACACATGACCTGACCAATTTTCCTGAGATAAACGACCTGGTTTGTGTTGCTTGATGAGGAAATTAGCATAACTCACGAGACCTGGACATCAATCTGCAACTGAAGGTTTTGCATGCTAGCCTAGTTGAATAAATTATTCATGGTTTACTTCTTTCCGGAAATAAGTAATAGGGATTGATGCTTACCTTAGGTTCTCTTCCGATACAAGCTTTCTTAGGGCTGAAATGAAACGGCACGTGATTTTATGAGAATCATGTGATACCCCTCGATCACCCCTTTCCGGCAAGCAGCAAGTCCATGCCAGCAATTAAGGGGATTCTTGTCAACAGCCACAGGTTTATCATTTCCCGCGACTTGAAAATTATCAACGATCATTTAGCGATATTGTATCTCGTGCTTACCCCATGCGATGATAGATTGTATGTAATTTCAAGTGATAAATATAGGCTACGATGATGAATACTGCAGTATACATACGCACAGATACACATTGTCAAGGGACCTTCTCACCTCATGGGCCCAAAACCTTCGAAGCTGCTTGACCCCACCTACCCATGATGATCGACTTCCGTACACTCCTATTTGGGGCATGATTATGAGGATCTTGATCGGCACTATCTCAGCAGCAAATAAAAGTACCGTACAGCTTCGAGGCTAATCACCAACGTTACAACGGTGTAAACCACATTCATTCTTTTCGTGCGATATGGCAGTAAAGTCAACGTAAAGGACATCTTTAAATTCAAGCCTTGGAGCCCCACACTCTTTTGTCAATAATTTCAAGTTTATCGCTCCTCGACTATGCTAGCTCTGAATGAGCGCGGCGATATTAATGCTGCGTCAATTGGTATCTATCTTATTCTAACGATCATTCTTTGTTTCATTTTTCGAAATAATGGGATTTTCCAATCTATCGGTCTCCTTTTCGTATTCTTATTCACTGTTGGTGAGTGCACGCCTCGGAGATTTCAATAAACGACGGAAAAGCTAAATATGGGCAATAGTAAAACTGGTTGGCAGCTGTATGACCGTCTATGTCCAGACTACAATGGACATGAGCCTTTATACACCAGCTGCAATCATCGGCACGGTTGTACTATCGCCTCTAATGTTATCAATATGTGCACTACTTATGCCTAAGTATGTCTCAATCAGAATGTTGTGCTCTACGTCAGCAAAATGATGATAATTTCATGCTAATCTAATTTCAAAAATACAGTAAAAAGACGATTGAAAGTTTTCGCAGCCCAACTGCTTTGATTGGTCCCAAGTTCATCATAGCCACAAGAATGGTCATATTTTCTGCCCTCGCTGTCGGAGTAACAGGCGGCCTAAAAATTTTTACGACCAACACCACTCCAGAAGGCATCCAGCAGGGACAGATACTACTTCGTACAGCAGCTGGCCTGGGAATTTCTAGCTGGATGCTCATTTACGGTGCCATCATCTTATTTTATCCAGAAAGACACTGTATGGGTACAGCTTATCCTATTATTGCTTGCATGATAATGCCAGTTTTCACGGTCCGACTCGCGTATGGATGTGCCGTCGCATCAACATTCTACACAGATCTAACACAGGTATTCAATCCCTTGGCTGGAAACTGGATCGTTTACATGGTCATGGCATTTATCCCAGAGGTCTTTATATCTGGATCCCTGGTTGGGATTGGGCTGGTTAATTGCATTGGCCAAAAAAGATGATGATGACTAGAATAATCAACGAGCAATGCAGCATATTTTATATGATTATTCGCCACACCACACCTGCCTAGGGTATACGGTTCCCTTGATGGCCTATATCTGGGCTGGGAAAGGGTTTAGTACTAAGGTGCGACCAAGTTACGACCAAGTTACATCTTTATTTATCGCGTCGGGCTGGCTATCCCTTGTCTAGGTTACCTTTCATTTTGTCTAACTTATGAATCGAAAGAAAATACTGTGCGGCATGACTTCTTGAGTCATAAATTCTGGGCTTAAATTCAAAGTTCAATCGCCGACAGGAACTATCACTCATCATGCGGCAAGACTCGTTCTAGCCACTCACGATCATTTTACATATCTCGTATACTCTAAATTGAGTTATATAAGGAACATGTGGCACGTTTCATAGAAAATTAGATCAGTAAATAATTAAATCTAATTTTGAATCTCTCCCTGTATTGGATGGACAAGATATATCCACATAGGTGAAACAATAATAAGCAATGAAAAACATGCAAGTTAGTATCAGGTCATAACCCACTTTACACTCAGTTTCTCGATGTGAATTACATGGTGCACTAAAGTTGACCAAGGCCCAAATGAACATATGCTCGCCTCACGAGTAAGGTTGGTCGTCCGTGCAAATCTCACCTATTTCAGGTGAAGTTGTCTGCCTGTGTCGGGCATAATTACCAGACAAGGATTTTGACATGTACATGTGCTGCCTGAGAACAATCCGCAACGGTTAGGCGGACAAAAGTCACTCATTAGTCCCACTTCAATCTGACCTATCATCCGAGTAGCCAATCGTAATTAGTATGACCCTACAGAACGAGAGTAAGCAGGGAATGCGACATCACTTTGTCGACCGACCAAGCCGTGTCGATCGAAATTTCCCATTAGTCAGGGGTAGAGAACATAGAACCTCCAAGGAATGTTGACCACAATCTTGGGAACAACTAAAGTCGTCCATACCGTAGATAGTTGTTGAGGTAGACTGAAGACGGCAAGTCCGTTGCGGAATATCGGGCTGGCTGATAGCCTTCAAGGCTTGTACCGGAAATCCGAGAAATGAGTCGCCACTTGCTTTTCATGCCAGCGAGCGTTGACGCACATCGGAGTATTGTCGCTCCAGGTTTTCATCATGTTAAAGGGGCGCCTATTAACCTGGATCGGCAATGATAGTTCTATGAGTCTACTAGAACCTACACATTTTCCCGTCCACAAGCCGCCGACCATCAAGCCATTGGAAACTTACAACTATTATTTCTTGAGCGAAGAGCAGAAATACGCGGCGTGACTGGTATATTGACTAGAAGCAGAACTGACATTTAATTACGTTTAATTGCCAAAGTATCGCTGGGAGATGTTGGGAGACGGCGAGCCTGCCAGTTAACAAAAATTCTCAGCTGTGACTCATGGACCCGATATAAGAAGAATGAAAAGTTTGGCTCGAGAATGGTGGTAGATGGTTTGGGGAGATGACGGAATTCTGGCGACAAAGGTTTACTGTGGAATATTGATGCCGTCGGTTGCGCTGTCAACTAATAACTTCCTGATTAAGGTGGTGAGCACAACAAGGTCTCAAATTGGTGAACAGAGCTTTCTCTGTAACTTCATTTGGGTTAAAGAGTGCATGGCGACTGACGCTCTATTCTCAAGTATTTGTGCGAGGTGGGCTAACAAGAATAGGATATAGCTACGGCAGTGGAAATCAATGAGCTTGAACCATGCTAGTTTTTATGCGATAACTTATGGAGTCTTATCACCCAGGACTGCAGTTCCTCCATCTCAACAGTACAGTCTCGTCTGCCTACCTGACCGGCATTGGAAAACGCTTGGGCTTTTGATACACTGCTGCTCGGTACCAGTATCTACTTTCACCAAGGGATTTCAACAAGTCTTCCGCAGTCTTAATATTTTCCTTGTGGCACAACGCTTCCACCTCATTAACGTTTTCGTCTCGATCAGGGGATAATCCATGACTGTAAGATACTCAGATGGTCACCGGTCTGCCACCTTAATCTTAAGTCGTCACCATTGCACGCCTAACTTTGGACGACAGAAGTGTGACTAAGAGCACGAAGCCGACGAACCCATATTGAATTGTCAATTAAATGGAATTGTTCTCTCATCCGCAGCCTGTTTTCCCAAATTCATGCCTCGGCTTCTACCCAATCGAAGAGGGCTTTGAGCATACCTTCACGGTCCAGGGAAATTACAGTGAATACCAGAATTCCACATGTCGTATGAGGAACTATTCTCAACACCTGTCAGTGGCGTCCCCTACGAACCTCCAGCTCTCGCTGCAGAGCTGAGATTGAGTAACAAAGTCCTCACTTCGACGAGGATTCCCAATCGCTTTCGCAGTCTATATCGTCTTCATCTCTCAACACATCCCCCTCTCACCATTATCATGAAGCTAAGCACGATCAGATCAGATGGTAGGGTCGGAGCCCTTATCATCACCAACCCTTGATCATGGAAGAAAAGCCATTCGATGAGTTTCCGGAGCGTACCCAGCACCCGATACGAAGATGGCGGATTGGATCAAGTCGACCTCAACTGTTACAAAGAAGGGAGATATTGATCAATATGCGCACCTCATGTGGTCCCGGTGTCTAGGCCTCGCCTGGCTGGGCCTCTAGGATTTTTAAGACTTTTTCCCACACACGCAGTTTCCATTGCTACCATTTTTATTTTTTTTGGGTAGAAGGTTCCGTGGAAATGGTGGCCGAATTCCACGGGTAAACACTGAGCTGAATGTCTATTCATCAAGGGCAATGTATCAATAATCTTTCAAGTAACAAAAGAGCATAGGGGCGCTGTAAAAGGTGTGGCCTGGGTCAGAGAGGAGCCTAATGTGCTAGATAGTCATAGACTCAAGTAGTACAATAAACATAACTTTCTATCTTCATATCTCGTTGAGGGTGATTTCAACCCCTCAACATTGTTTCATGCGGGGCTAAAAATCAGCACCTGTCACTGATGTCCAATACAGATCTAGAAGTGAAATCGTTCTATTATCAATTTCAATCACATACCGCGTCCGAATGAAGTTGATCCTCGAGACGGTGATTGAAACCCTCCAGCTATAACAATCGTTCATCACGACCAGTGTCTCACCAAGTATAAATTTACGATACCGTGCATCCAACTTTTCATGACTTCACTTCACGTCGTTTTGAACGGCGCAAAAACCATTAGAGAGGTGTTTGAAGTAGATAAAATTGTTTGTCTCCCAGGATACTTCATCACTAGATTTTATGCATTCGAGCTCTTCTAGGTCCACCCCACCATTCATTCTAGGCCCATCAATCTTGCTTAATTCGAACTCATAGAAACTTTTTCTTTCCTTTCGGAACAGGAAAATTCATGATACGTCTGAAGAAAAAGGGCAGCTGTCTGCTCATCGAGCGTCGATTGACTGATGGAATCTGAGTTGGCGATGAAAAGGTCGATTTATCAAACTATATGAGGAATAGAATTGAATTGAATTCAAGTCCCTACTGAGTCCATGGCTATGAAGGACTGTCGAAGCTATCAAAACTGCTTTAAAGCCCAATGATAAATATGAAAGTTGATAGTGTTAATACTTTCTGATAGATACTGAAGCTCATGTCCTAAAAAAATATATCAAGAGAAAAGATTTCTCAGGCTACTTCTAACATGTACTTCTGATAATTGATCCACTTTGTAAATATACCGACTGATGACTTTCCCCAAGGCCAAGTACTTGCCACTAGGCAATGCATTATCAAGAGTCATCACGCTTTGACGTTACTTCGATCTCCTGGCCAGAATGGCCATGCTCTTCATCTTTCTCTCTCGGCCTTGAAGCCAGTCCGAATCGACTAGCGCGTGCTCTGGCGACTTCAGTTGGACTATTCATGGAGATACATATCCCATGCTTTATAAAAAGCCTGGCAAATAATCTGTGTCTAACGAACTCTGCAATAAAGCAGGTCACAGTCGTCAAATCCTCTTACACAATACAAGCCAAAGCCGGCAAAGACGATTTCTTCACCTTCTAGAGGTGCCGGTGAAATCGCTAATATTTTCCGCATGTCTCTGGGATAGCCAAGAAGAGTCGCATCCTAATCGAGGTCTGAAGCCACCTCAAGCACATCTAAAATCGACAATCCTTCGTCAATGTTGGACCTATCATTCTCTGTTATTGTTGGTAAAACAGGAGTGATCACTTCTCTACTGTAGTAGTGGACTTGACCGTTGGTGTGAATTTGATTTTGTCTATCTCTCTCTCCTCTCGACCTAGTTTTACAAACTACTTGTCCAAGGATATGCTGACTAATCATACAACTAAAACCAAGTGGCAATCATCCCAGTTGCTAACGCCAGTAACCTATCCCAATAAATATAACTACAAAGCTAACGTTCCGACAGTTATGATATGCAAGTACACCAGTCTTACTGTGGACAGTCAAGGGTACGCAAGATAATGTCAGGCTCAACATTGTAAGGAAAGAATTGCTCTACGGCAATGGAGAAATGTGAAGCACGAACCACCACTGAGAGGACGGGAGATGCTGGCAGAAGAGGGAGAGAGAAAATTTCTCCAATTCTCAACACTAAATTCTGCGAGACGCATAGCACAAATCGGGAGGACTAAGTCCCGCCAAAGGAAACTTTTCACAGCTCGAAGGGCTACGAGGAAGAAAAAGGGCAGGGCGCTTATTTTCTTGGAATAGATTACTTATTTATGTTTTCTACTTATAGATTTGACAAGTAAAATATGTACTTAGATTGTTGTGTGCCCATAGGGGGCACAGTCCTGTATCACGCTTACTGGGTGTAGGGCGTAAGCCTGAATGAATGAAAGTTTATTCGTGACGGGCACAAGCCCTGCAGTCAAAGAGCATGACACGGTAAAGACTAGCTTCTCCGACGACTATGTACGACGTTAACTCAGTTTGACATTTGGACTACTCATGTATTGGGTGCATTCGCTCATATCCCTCGAGGCCTTGATGCCGGGGACT